TTGTGTAGTTTGTTTCATTTTGTTTTTTGAGGTAGGGTCTCACTATGTAGCTCTAACTGGCATGAGATATTTAAGTTTGAATATTCTTGTACTAAAGTTTCTCATGATTAGGTAATATCTCTTTCAGCAAATTAACACAATTAGAAAGTGTACAATCAATGCAGCTTCCATTAAATACTGTAGAAGAAACAAAAATATTTTTACTGTTGAAATCCAGCATGTCAGTTATGGAAGTCTATCAACCAGCTTTTATTTTATTGCCCTGAGTATCACAGAACCTTGGTCTTCTGAAAAAAGCTTGCAAATACTGGAAGAAGTGAGTCAGGCTTTAAGCAGAAGCAAGAGGTAATGGGCTTATTGTTGCTAGTATAACAGCTTTAATTATATTAATTGCTAGCACTACTGCTTCTGTAATTGCTTTGACACAAGAAGTTAAGATAGCCTCTTTCGTTAATCATTTAGCAAAAAATGTTACTAATGTGTTGAATATGCAAGAGGATTTAGATAGGGATTTGGAAGAAAAGATTGACGTTTTTTACCCTATTCAAATTATTGGAAGGAGGTTCAGAGTTTAAGAGTAAGTAGCCATCTTGAGTGTCATGTCAAATACCAATGGATTCGTGTTAGGTCTAAAATTTACAGTGGAAGTCATTATAATTAGTAAAAAGTTTAAAGACACTTGCAGTATATTTGGTATAATTCTAACACTTCTCTGGATGTTTCAACTTTGCATAGTGAGTTTTTGAATTTAAAGAATGGTGTTCTGCTGAGTGTTGATGCGGCAGATACTGTTGATAAAATTACTCATGGCCTGAGGTCAGTATTTCTATTTTGGTCAAGCTTCAAGATTGGCATATATAGCCTGATCATGCTAGCCCTTTTTGTCCTGGGAATACTTTTATTCCTGCCCATTGTGTTAAAGCTTGTCTTTAACAACAGCAACATGTTGGCAGCCAAAGTACATGTCTTGGAACTGAAAATGGACCCCCAGACGAAGTTATTAAATTAACAGGCTGGCAAGCCAAGGATGGGTAAGATTCTGCACAGAGCCTTACCAACCTAAGACATAAATGCATTGCATTTGATAATGCATATTCCATGATGGGTAAAGAAGGCATTTTTGTCAGAACAACTTAAGACAGGCTCAGTCTTGTTTATAAAGTAAAAAATGGGGATAGGCAGAGAGCTTTTGGGGCTGTTTGGCAAGAATCTGACATGGGTCAAGGACAAGGAAATGGGCTGCTTAGGTGGAGTATGACATTGGCCAAGGACATGGAAGTGGGCTCCAGGCAGGAATCTGACATTAGGCTAGAACAAAGAAGTAATTTCAGGCAGGAATCTAAAGCTTAGGCTAGAACAAGGAAGTAGGCTTCAGACATGAAAATGACTTTGGGCTATTACAGGGAAGTTGGCTCAGATATTTTGGTCATCCTGATAAGCCCTTAGAAACAGTGATCATGGGAGTGTCCATGGATCTTTGTTTAATGCCTTGCTTGTTCTTTGACTATTTATGTTTTTTGTCTTGCTTGATCTTTGACTATTTGCATCTATTGTATTTCTAGTTCCTCAACCTAGAACTGACCTTAATACTTAATGTAATTAAATACTTAATGTAATTAAAATGGTATAAAAGCAAAAAGGAGGAGGAGGAGGATGGAATAGGGGGTTTCTAGGGAGGGGAAATGGGGAAAGGGGATGGCATCTGTAATGTAAATAAATAAAATATTCAAAAAATAGATAATATCTCTTACAAAAATATTTTTTTATCAAAAGTTCTAAAATAGAAATCCTGCTAAATACCGTGAAAGTTTGCTGGTAGTATGATGTTCAGTTTTCTTTCTGTTAGCTCAATTTTAAGTACATCTATGAAAGAAATTCCTAAAGAATCATGACTCCCTTCCTCACACACCAAGCTTTCTTTTGCTAGAACAATATTTTACTATTCATCTTTAAATCACTCAAACCTAAGTTTCATTTGGCAGCTTCATACTGCAGGGAAAGTGAGTACATTTGCACATACATTTAGGTAGATGATCAAATAGAAATCTCTTAGGATCTTAATAGATGTATGACTTTGGGATTAGTTATCTAGTCTACCTTCTGTTTCTTTGAAGCACATGTGAAGTTTTGTCTTTGGTTTTGTATAAAATAATGACATTATTTTTTAAAAATCTGGATAACTACCTAAATACTTTGTTGGCTTCGATAGTCACCTTAGTATGTTACAGCATTAACAAGGATTTTGGATAAGAATAAGGAATATAGCTGGGCAGTGATGGTGCACGCCTTTAATCCCAGCACTTGGGAGGCAGAGGCAGGCAGATTTCTGAGTTCGGGGCCAGACTGGTCTACAGAGTGAGTTCCAGGACAGCCAAGACTACACAGAGAAACCCTGTCTTGAAAAACCAAAAAAAAAAAAAAAAAAGAATAAGGAATATAAATATTTTTGCCATATTTACTTAGTTGTGCTCTTTTTGTTGGGAAGAGACTGCTGCAGATATGTGTGTAGTCTTTATTTTCTTACATAATGTCATTTTTGTGTATCTTGTCTAGTTGCTGTACCATTTTGTCCTTTACTACATATATATACTGGGCATACAGAAAATGACACTTGTTTGCTTTACCCCTATACAGAGATGGTGTTCTGTTCAAATCATTTGCATTTTGCCTTTATGTTTTTGACTGAAGAATACACTTAATTACATGTACAACCGTTTAACATTGAAAAGTGGCCATGTTCAGATTAGTTAGGTCCTGGTATTTCTAAAAATTAACCAAATTGTACATTCATGTGATTCTTTTATATAGAAGTGTATTATAAAAGGTACTATTTTGAGATTTCTTCATGTTGGATCTTTGAGATTTAGATTACTCTTTTTAACTGTGGAATAAATGAATGACAGACCAGTTTGTATATTAGCTATAGGTGGGTTTTCAATTTTCATGTTTCAGATAATATTATTGTATAAGAGTTTGTGGTAATTGGACCTAGGGTCTCATGCATACTAAATACTGATTATACATTCTAAGACTCTTTGTCCAAACTTTTTGTGAAGAGGAGAGTGCCTCTAGGTGGTGGCATTCTGTGGTCTGTGCTTATCTTCAATATTGCCAAATGACATCAGCATCCTCCATATGGCCACATATTTACCAGCTCACCAGCAGTGTGGGCCGTTCTCACTGCTTTGTATTCATACTACTTATGCTCATTTTATCGGTACAAAATGGCATTCCTTGATATTTCAATTTTTATTATCTGGTAATGTACTTGATCCTCTTTCCACATGTTGCAGGCCACATGAATTTGTTCATGATTATTTTTCCATTTTTAAATTCTATTGCATATTTTTATGATGATCAGTTTTGTGTTTTTCTTGACTTATGTGCAGTTGTTTTTAATTCTGAAACTCATGAAGATTCTTCCCCTTTATGACTAATGTTAACTAGGACTTTAAGCTATTTTAGGTTGAATAATGCAGTCTTCTTAGATTTTTTTTTTTTTAAAGCTGTTCTTGCTTGCCAGCTATTTCTCTTCCTCACTTTACTCAAACATTCCTATCCCCTGGGAGATGAAAAGTTGATGATACTAAGGGAAGGGAATAAATAAGAAATGCAGCAATACATGAATAAAAAAAGGGACAGTTTTATAAAATTGAAATAACCATGTTTAAAATACTTGAAAATATTCTCAAGAGCCTGTCATTATTTCTTATTTAGAAATATATTTTAGACTTTGTGCAACCAGAGACCGATTGTTTAATGTTTTCATTGCTGTAGGAATTCATCATTACATGATGAATTGTGTATGTGAGGATCCAGCAGAGCCTCTGAATGCTTAAGGTGGTTCTGTGCCTCTTTTAAGAGCACTAAAATAACAATCGAAAATGTCTTCAGTCTCTTTGACTAGTGCATTAAAAAGTAAATTTGTTTACTTACTTCTTGTTTATGTGTCTATGTGTGAAATCTCACACCAAGATTTCTGAAATTAAATTGCGATCTTTCATCAATTCTACCTTGACTTAAAACTCAAATTTCTTTACTTAACAATCTCTTATATTTTTAAATTTCTATTCTAGAAAGTCTGTTTCTTGTGAAATTGTACTCATCTAAAGACTTGTATTAGTAGACTGTACTTTAAGACTATATTAGGGATAATGATCAGTCAAGGTTTTTGTTTGTCTTTAGATTTTTTGTTCTTCTAAATTTTTAAAAATTTGTTTGGATGTTTTGCCTGAATGTAACTCTACATTCTTTGTACATGACTGTACATGCCTATTGACCTTGAAAGTCAGAAGGATCCATGAAACTTGAGTTACAAATAGTTTTGAATTACCATGTGGGTGTTGGTAATCAAATCTAGGTCTTCTGAAAGAGCAACCATTGCTTTTAAACTCTGAGCCATTTCTCTAGCCCCTTAAAGATTTATTTTTGTTTTTATGGGCGTGTGGGCTGTGTAGTGGTATATGCCCAAAGAGGCCAGAGGTGTTGGATCCCCTGAGACTGGAATTAGAAGTAGGTGTAAGTACTGATGTGAAATGTGGGTCCTCTGCCAGAGTAGTATAGTACATGCTTGTAACTGTTGAGCCATTTATAGTAATACAGATTTTGTCAACTTACGATCTTTATAGTAAAATAGTATGTGTTATTAGATATATTTGAAGCTTTTACTTGTGAAACTTGTTTTTTGATGGTGATAAGACAGTGTGATTTTGTTGTGTTTTTAAAATTGCTTTAAAAAGTAGTATGTGTGGCTGGAGAAATGGCTCATAGGTTAAAGTTCATTCTTCCAGAGAACTGAGATTGAATGCCAAGCACCCATGAGACAGATCACAACCATCTGTAACTCCAGTTCTAGAGAATCTGATGCTTTTCCAGGCTTCGATGGGTACCAGGCACACATGTGGTATACAGACAGTACATACAGGCAAAACACCCCATACATATACAACAATACAATAGTCTTTGTGAAAAACTTACTTATTTTTCCCCATTACTTTCAGCTCCATTTACCTCTTAATTCGCCGTTGCCTGGAAGTGAATTGACCAAGGAACCTTTTCGTTGGGATCAGAGACTATTTGCTTTAGTATTGCGGTTGCCTGGCACCATGTCAGTAGAATCAGAACAGTTGACAGGTGTGCCTTTGGATGATTCTGCTATCACACCAATGTGTGAAGTGACAGGAGGTAAGTTTTTTGCTGAAAGTAACTCAGAGGCTTAAAACAGTTTATCTGAATGTACTAAAATGTACGTTTCACAATTTGCATGTTTATGTTTGTCAAACAACATTGACATACCGGTAGTTTTAAAATTGCATGCGTTAATGATGGGATGTAGTCTTGATAAGTCAATAGTTAAACTGTTCTATTTCATGAATGTTAGTTTTTTTTATACCTATGTAACAAATGGTGGTATTTGAAGTTGTTTAGACAAACTTTCCTGCTTACAAAGGTCATTAGTGATCTAGCTGGCATGGTGACGTACACCTTTAATCTCAACAGTGAGGAGGCAGAGGTGGGTGGATTTTTTGAGTTCCAGACCAGCTAGAGCTGGCTACATAGTGATTCTCTGTCTCAGAATAGAAATGTTGTGCACAGCCATTAATTAATTGATTAAAAAATATAAACAAGTTATAATCTTAATATGAAATAAAATTGTCAAAGATTTTTATAGAAATTAGAAAAAATGAATTAATAAATTCATTAAAATTAATTAAAAATTAGTAAATTATTTAAAAAAAACATTACCAGTAATCTGAAATTATTTGAAGAGAAAGAGCAACTTTTCCTATACTTTACAAACTGAGCCTATACTGTGTAATGTTCCTCCTATGATTATTGTTTAGGTCCAATCTCATCCCTTATAATGTTTATTGATTTCTACCAAAGCATAAAAATCTGTAGAATGAGTCATTTTAACTGGGAAAAAATGTGTATAATATTACACATCTTTAAGTCAAGAGGTTGGCTTTTTCTCATCTGTTAGAGACACATGCATGCATGCTTGTGCATGCGCGCACGATAGGCCACACTCAGTACAACAGACCTAGAATCAGCATTGGCACCTGAGTGAAACAGTGAAGAGTCAGAGTACCTCTTGCCATCTGCAAATCTGACAGACTAGACACACTAAAGTATTATGGTTTCTTACTGGTTCTGCTGCTTCCCTTTTCCACTGTACAGTACTGTTTCATTGAAAAGCTTATCTGTAAGAAACAGAAATCTGATCTCAAGGCTTATAAAATGGCTTTCTGTATTTGGCAAATAAACCATACTTATTAAGACCTGGAAGACACTTAATCAATATTAGGTCCCTGCCTGTCTCTCTTTAAATCTATCAGTCTTCCACATGGAAACTCACAGCACATACTTTCACATGCATCCATATGTCCTTTTCTCTACTCTTTGTCTTTCTAGAACTTCTTGTGGCTAATTATTGTTTTCAGGTTCCTGATTCAAATGTCACCACCTCAGAAGAAACTTACCAAAATAGACTCATTCTCAACCTCATTACTACCATCTACATATGCAAATAATTAAAAATCTGTGGAGACTAGTTGAATAATTATTATCTCCTCTGTACTTGTACTTCCCATCTTTTATTTTGTTAAGCAAGAATAAGAGTTTTTGGGAAATTACTGCTAGTTGTATGTATGTATGTCTGTTAAAGATACTGGCTAACTGTTGGAGGTAGTAGTACCTGATAAAGGTGGATAGATACTTGATATTTTTTCCCTTTGTGATTTGCTCAACCCAGAGTTTCTATGATCTATTTACCTTACCTATACTTAGAAGAAGAAAATTGCATACTCACCTACAGTGAAATTATCGGTTGGAAATAATAATTATTGTTTATTCTTCTTTAAAATTGGGAAATACCAGCCATTTAATTTCTATTAGTATTATAATTTAAAAAAAAACAAAACAAAACAAAAAAAAACCCTACTGTAGTCCTTACTGGATTTTGACTTTTACAACTAACTAGTTTACTTCATTCTTTTTTTTTTTTTTTTTTTTTTTTTATTCTCAGGCCGGTCATACTCTGTATGTTCTCCAAGAATGCTTAATCAGTGTCTGGAATCCTTGGTACAAAAAGTACAAAGTGGGGTGGTAATAAACTTTGAAAAGGCAGGACCAGATCCTCCCCCTCCTGAAGGTATTGTATTGTCCTTACAAATATTCTGAGTTTGATTTATGAATTATTGACCTCTCTCTCTCTCTCTCTCTCTCTCTCTCTCTCTCTCTCTCTCTCTCACACACACACACACACACACCCCATTGTGTGTTGTTTATGTATGTGTTGGTCTTAAGATCAACAAGGCCAGCTGGGTGTGGTGATATACATACAGCTTAAATCCAAACATTTGGGAGGTAGATCTCTGAACTTGAGACCAGCCAGCCAGGCAGGGCTACATAGAGATTCTAGCTCAAAATTTAAAGATTAAGAAGGCCAGTTGGTTACACAATTGCTATTGGTACAGAAGAGGAAGATATAGGAATATTACATTCAAAATGACCAAATTTTTACTAGATAGTGAACTGCAGTCTGTCTAACAAAGCAGTCATGGCATTCTCCCACTTAAGAAACAGAAGAAAGCCCATAGTCAACAAGCATCAGGGTTTATGTTCTTGTTTTTGGGTAATAATGGATGTGATTTAATCTTGTTTTTTCCTCCCTAATGTATTTTTTTTTTTGTCCTAATCTCTTTGCTGTAGATGTGCAACCAGATATATCAAGACCTTTTGGATCTCAGCCTTGGCATAGCTGTCACAAGCTCATATATGTCAGACCAAATCCTAAAACTGGGGTTCCTATAGGCCATTGGCCTGTTCCAGAATCTTTTTGGCCAGATCAGAATTCTCCAACACTAGTAAGTACCAGAGTAATCATGACCAATTACTAATAACCATTTAGATGATAATCATATAGATGATTTTCTTTTATGGAGTTCCTTGCTTTTGAGAGAAGATCCTGTTTTGCAGCTCATGCTTTTGTTTTGCTAACTATATAGCACAAGCTGGCTTGAATCATGAAGTGATGCTAAGTCCAATTGTTATATAAAGGTGTGGCTCGTTTACAGAAATTAGACAACTATATAATGTGCTTATCATAAGCCATTATTTGCTTTCACATATTGTCTTATGAAGCAACAGAAAAAAAGGTATCTTGTTTCCCTTGGAATTTAATACTAGGCTACCCTTTTGTTTCTTACATTTGGATACTGAATTGTAAATGCAGGAAGATTTCTTTATTTGGATTTTAAATGTAATGTAGCATGAGAGTTTATCCTTGAGGTACAAATTGAAATTTAAATGAAGGTATAGAATTCTTATGATAGTTTGTGTTTCAGTAACTATTATTTAGGGGTTTCTACCCCACCTTAGATCATTTAGTTCCCAAATAAAAGACACAAAAATCTTTATATTTATAATGAGCCTTAAAGCATTAGATATCAGCCCTCTATGCTGTTTTGTCTACTTCCCTGTCTGTAACCCCCGAGATACCACTTTCCATGTTCCTCCTGGGCCACTCCTTCTCCAACAGGCTGGCCCTCATAGTCAACCTACTCCACGGCAACTTCTTCCTTCTTCCTCCTTTCTCTTGTCCTTTCTTCTTTTAACTGAGACCCCAAGCCTGGGAACTGTCTACCCAGCCCAGACTGTAGGCATCCTTATTAACCAATCATGGATAACTTGGGGCGGCAAGGTTTACACAACAAAAGCTGGTGTATGCAGGAAGAACACTTGTCTTGGAGCAACAAGCAGCACCAGGCCAACCACCTACACGTTTGCCTGCAGTCTTTCAGGTCATAGTCTTAGAAACTCATGTTCACTTGTACACCTTTAGTACAACTTTAGTTGATAGTGTTGCACAACTTGGAAGTTGTGCTTGTGGGGATTTTTCTCATTTTACCTACATGAATTGCTTTTATAAATATTGGTGGTTATTGAGTGACCATGGTTCATTATCAATGTTCTTTATAGTAGAATACAGTTAAACAAAATCATATCTATTCAGACTTGTTTAATCTACTTTTTCTGATATTTTTTTTGTAGCACCTAGGGCATGACACTTATTATTAGTATTACTCTTAGAAAGTAGGTTCTATTTGAGAGATTTTGAGCAAGTAACTATTATTCATGTTAAAGTAAGCCACTTGTACTTTTTTTAAACTACAAGTCTGTTTCATGATAAGTCTATTAATAAGGTCTTTCTCCATCCTAAGTTTAGTAAACGTTTAAAGTAAAAGTAAACGTTTAAAGTGTCATTGTGTTACCTTGTTTATATTTTTCCCTTTTCCTGATTAAATGTATGTGATGTTTTGCTTTGAGCTTATAAAGAAGCTTTCCATTTCTTTGGTGATATTTCTTTTTTCCTAGAATTTTTTTTTTTTTTTAGTTCTTCCTCTGTTTTTATTAAGTATCTTTCTTGATTATTCATACCATTGTATTGACACTGACAACAGTATCTATGGTATTTCATGGAAAGTGAGAAAAAATATGGAAGTGAAAAAGAAGAAAGTGCATTTAGGGAATGGAGACTGCTGTTAAGTAAATGGAATTATATTACTGTTACAAAACCAGTTTAGGGAGTGTGAGTTGTTCCTATTAGCATTCATAGTGCTTTTGAAGTCCGTTTTAGGGAATCACCACTTTAGCAAAGTAACTTGGTGCAAATTAGGAGGTAAGTTGGAAGGGCAGGTAGGCTACCTGCAGGGCTAGTAATATGGTTCATTTAAGAGATACTATGTTTTTCTTAAAATGATGGAAGAGAATGATCATAAGAAACAGCATTGGATAGAACTGTTTAAAATTTGTCAATTCAAGGCTATTAGCAGGAGAATGACATTTCTACAAATTCTAATTTTCAAATAAATATTGTTACTAAAGTTAAAAAGTGATTTTATTAACTGTGAGCCTCTTGATTATGGTTCTTCAAAATTGTTTGGAGACTTAAATGGAAATACATTTAAGAACCTTCTTTACCTAAATATAGAAGATTTTCCTCTCAGAAAAGGAATAAAGAAATTTTTAAGACTGACCTGAAAGATGGTAAACAAGCTATTAAAATATTTTAAACCCTCATTTAAAGTTGAAATATTTGGGTGAAATATTTTTACACACACACACTCTCTCTCTGTGTCTCTCTCTGTCTTGCTCTCCAAATATATTTAAACAAAATGCGGCTTGGCAAGAATATACTTCCCATCTTCAACATTACCAGTTTATGGGCAGAATTCTCAGATATACATATTGTAGAGCACAGTTTGCTAACTGTAATGGAAGGCAGGGTGCAGTTAATGCCAGGAAATGGGACCTAACTGCTTGGTGTGTGCGTTGAGTCTATATATTGGGAAGGTGTACTAGAAAAGTCTCCCAGAGTTTGGTTCCTACCAACTCACTCATTCTCTAAAAGTTTTTATTTTTACTTACTTTTTTATAGTTAAAGCACTAAAGCTTTACTACAAAAGGAGCTAACTGCTAGAGAGGGCCTCTCCAGGCTTTCTCTGTGTCCTCCTTCTTCGCAGTGTATACCTCCAGGGGAGGTCAGTGGTCCATCATAGAAGAGATGTCTGGGAGGGTAAAATATAGTAATATTTTTTCCAAAGTCCTCCAAATCCTTCTAGGTGCTGTTGAGACTCTTCTGGTAGAAGAGGTAGGAACTTTAGCTCTCATCTCCAAGATCCTCCATGTCTATACCCCGGGGAGCTTTTTTTTTTTTTTTTTTTTTTACTTTTTACCTTCTTTGTCGTTTGGGCTGTGGCTGACTAGTCCTGGTTGACTTGGAGGTGGCTTCCACTTCCATGGCTGCTTTTTCTTTCTGAGCAAGTCAGATCTGCTGCCAGAGTTTCCTGTGCGTCTTCTCAGATAGTGTGATGTTGGCATGAGCACTGGGCACACCTGCTTCTTGAGGTGGTGCCTTGGAGTCAGCCCTTCGTCTATCACAGCCCCCACCACCTGGCGCTTCCTCAACATCCCTGCTTAGTACCCTGTGGTGCTTGAACAGCTTCTGTTTCAGCTCTGTCTGATGACGATTGATCTTTCCTCCTGGAGGTCCCACTGATACACTCAGAGGCTCACTCCCCAAGTTTTTAGTTTTAAAAGAGAAGATAATGAAGTAGTCAGTAAAACACAGGGGCAGGAAAGATACTGACCTATTGGTGCAACAGCACATAGGTAGCATGGCTGGAGGATGGAGTCTCTAGGACATGAGTGAGGAATGCCTTAGAGACCAAAGCACTGAAGCTTTTATTTGAAATTAAAGGTGTGAACTGCTCCTACCTTGTGATTGGCTGCTAGTTTTACTGCATAAATTTAAGTAGGGAACTACATAAAATGACAACAGGATTATTGGAGTAGAGTAACTAGGAGGAATACTAGTTAGAAAGCAGTTGTGTGTAGTCTTAACTTGAGAAAGAGTGAAGATCTGAGTTTAAATGGTAAGAAAGATTAGTTGCTGAAAGTGGGGATTTAATATTGTCAGAAAAATGGTGGCAGCAGCCAGTACTGAGCATGTGTCCCATTCATGTGTTCTAGTAAGTGCCTTACAATTTCACTGTGGTTTGATGTAAGTCGTTGAGAGTTAAAATGGTGAGGGTATTAGAAGAGAACTTGTGGTTTGGAGACATAGATACAATGTATGTGAAGGCTGTGTAAGAGTCAGATTATATCCAATAGGCAGCTGTAGACATAAGAGAAATGAGATAGTTTTGATCCTTAAAGCATTGTGCTTTTATGGCTCTAGGACAGGAATCTTCAAAATGAGGTGTTAGGTACCTTAGGAATATGGGAGAGGAATGACCAACCAGAGGAATCCATTAGGAAATAAAGAAAGCTAACTTATAAATAAGGTTTATGTCTTTTATTAGATATACATTAATTATTTTATCTCTTTATATCTACAGTTTGTAAATACTGTCTGAATATTGCCTATGCAGAAATTAATAAAGGAGTGTGATTAGCTTGGAAGTTACTACTCTGTATAAGTAATTGCCACAAATGAGGTCTAGTGAGCTTTTGTATATTTCTTCTTTCTTAGATATGAAAATAATAACTTCCTTTTAATTCTAAATTAGTTGAATGCGTTTTATTCTAAAATTTGATTTAACTAATGATAAATTTGATTTTAGATAGATTTTCATTTTATGGATTTTGATGTTTTTCTTTTCTTGGTAATATTACATAATTTAAACATTTGTTTCTTTTTTCCAGCTTAATGGTATTTCTAGGAAACCAAACTTACTAAAAAGACTGAGGAAGTAAGCTTTGATAAGAGAAAGGTGCTTAAGATGTGTTGATTTCTGGTATTTTGTATAAATAGTAATAAGATTTTCCCCTCTAGCCACCTCGTACATCTCATCCTGTAGTGAAGTTTTCCTGTACAGACTGTGAGCCAATGGTTATTGACAAATTGCCTTTTGACAAATATGAGTTGGAACCTTCACCACTGACTCAGTTTATTCTAGAAAGGAAATCTCCTCAAACATGTTGGCAGGTAAGCTGAAAAAACTGTAGTGAAGAAAACATTTAGGTGAGATGTTTCTGACAGAGCTAGACTAGGGACCAGAGAAATGGGTCAGTCAGTAATGTGTTTTCTGTAAAAGCACACAAACCTGTTAATCTAAATTTTGGATACCTAGTACCTATTTAAAAAGCCTATCTCTGTGTTGGGAAGGATATAGGAGGCCCCTGGGATATATTGGCTATATAGTCTTACTGAAATGGTGAACTCTAGGTTCAGTAAGAGACTGTGTCAAAAAACAAAACGGAGACCAATTGAGGGAAATACTCAGTGTAAAGGGCACGTACACGCATGTGTATATACACACAAGCTAACTGGATCTGTGGTTTGCATATCATTCACTGCAGGTTTATTGAATATGAATTTTAACCTTCCTTTTCAACAGGTGTATGTGAGCAATAGTGCAAAATATAATGAACTTGGCCATCCGTTTGGTTACTTGAAAGCTAGTACAGCACTGACATGTGTCAACTTATTTGTGATGCCTTACAATTACCCAGTCCTCCTTCCTCTCTTAGGTAAGTCATTCTTGCCATGTACTCTTATAGAAAGATAAGAAATAGCCCTATCTTATCTATAAAAATTAATGGGAATGCTAAGCCTACTGTAAAATACTTATATTTTATAGACAGAAGTACTACTATATTTAAATTTTAAAATTAACTATTCTAACTTTGTACAAGTAAGATTTCTTACTCAGTGATACTTTCTGGGCTAGACTTTCTGTTTAATGCATAAAACATGCTCTATTCATAAAAATCTGAATACATGTTCTAAGAATTTATCTAACTCTTAATTTGGAAAAGTTTTGTTTGAGTACGTACATGTGGAAACAACAGATCATTCTCAGACATTGTTTTGAAGAAGCCATTCACTCAGTGGCTATCCAGTTGTTTAAATTTATGTGAGAGCATGTGTTTATGTGATCATGTGCTCATATGTGCCATGGTGCATGTTTGGTGGTCAAAGGATCACTTGTGAGAGTTGTTCTACTGTGTGGGAATCCTGAGATTGAACTACTAGGACCTGGGGCTTGTTGCTAGCTGGCCATGAGCCTGGAGGTCTGTTCATCTGGGATTCTGTTCTTCTGCTCTGGGATTACAGGCATGTATCACCATACCTAATTTTTTTCATTGTTGTCAGTAATTCAACTCTGGTCCTCATGTTCACAACGGCAAACACTTTTAACAACTGAGCTATGTCCCCAATCCTAGAAAATAGTTAAAACATGAGAAAGCCCAGTGTCTGTTTTTAGGTTCAAGCTGGCCATCATTTTTGAACAGTACAGAGAAACATTTCTTCTACAAACCATCAAATTTAAAAGTTGTAGTGAAGATATTAATAGTTACTATACTTGATTTTTCTAGTAAGACATAAGATTTTTCCTTGTGTATTTTCGATGCTACTTCATTAATGTGTATTTTTCTTAGACCATAGTTAACAGGCTTTCACCTTTAAAATCGAACCAAAACTGTTAAGAGCCAAGTTTACTACTTTTTATTTTGTTAAGATTTTCACATGTTAAGTGCCTCAGCAGTAACAAAATAGACTTGAGAGAGGAACTTTGACTGGAGTTTAGAACAATGAGTGACGCTCCTCTGTGTTGACTGTTGTAGATGACTTGTTCAAAGTGCACAAAGCAAAACCGACTCTGAAATGGAGACAGTCATTTGAAAGTTATTTGAAGACAATGCCTCCCTACTATCTTGGGGTAAGAATAATATTGTTAAGATAGATCTTGACACATAGCTTATTGCCAATATTATAACCTTTTACACATCCCTATAAATAACATGAACATTGAATGTACAGATAACATATGAGTGTAATTATAGATTTTAGTGGTTTGTAGAATAATAGTGGTTGTGAGAATATGTGAATATTGTATAGCCAAGGCCAGGTATTGTCATAAGCATGATGTATATATTAATGATGTTTAATCCTTAAAGTCTTCTTGTGAGGTAGAAATGACTTGTTTCTGCCTCAAAGATGACGTCAGGAACGGAAAGTAAGTGGTCATTTCTAATTCTAGTTTCTACTTTTGATGCAATTATTTTATACCTCTGTCTAGAACTAAATAGTTTGATTTTATGGTTGTAAAAGTTAAGTTTCTTTGAAAGTCTAGCACAGGGTACTTATTGTGTTACAGAGAGTAAGAAGGAAGGAGCTCGTAGATATGTTGATTCTGTTATCTTTAGCAACCTTTGAGACTTAGCCAGAGCTTCATGAATAGTGCATAAATATGAGCTCTGGATTTTGATTCCAGGGTTCAGCAGAGCTTACGCACTTTCCATGCCATTGAGTTTTTTTCTGTCTTTGTGTCTGTTGGTGATAGTTTACTGTATAAAGTGATTCTAAATTAGTCCCTCCTTACTCCTGAAGATTTATACTGTTATATATGTGTTTTAAACTTTTTACTGTGCTTATTCTCCTGTGTCGACTCTGTACTCTCATTTATAGTCTGTTTACTATGTTATTGGGGAGGGGCCCTTAGGGTCCATGTGTTTGTCTGAGCTTTCCCAGTCGGGTAACGTCCCTGAGCTTCTGAGCCTTGTAAATTTCATGAGCAATTTCACAAGCTTCTAAAACTTTTTTAAAATATCTTATTTTATTTCTACAAGTGCTGATGATACATAAAAAGCTCAGTTAATGATAATAATAGTGTGGATGAAAATCTATTGAATGCTTACTATATGCCAGATACTTTCTGTGTATTCACTCACATAATTCCATAACAACTTGTTAAAGAAAGATGTCCTTTCCTCCCTCTACAAGTAGAGCTAACTCAGGACAAGTTGTTTCACCAGTTCAGATTGTATGTCTAGCCCCTTACCCACTGTAGCACTCAGACTGGCCCTCACAGTGTGTCTTCTGTCTTCCAAATGAGTATCTCCCCCTGGCATTGAGCACTTCAGGTCAGGACTGCATTCTTTATGCCCTGGATCATTACGTTTCTAATTCACATTAACTACCTTAAGTTGCTTTTCATGGCACTTATTAAACATTTTACTAAAATACAAATACGACTACTGTATTGTTGTATTGTGTTCCTTTTAAGGCAGAGAATGCAAATTGTGGTGGAAAGTTTTTGCAAGTTAAAATATTGAACATTTTTCAACAAACTTGATATTGAATGCTGTTTCTTTTTCTATAGCCCCTGAAGAAAGCCGTTAGAATGATGGGCGCACCTAATCTGATAGCAGACAGTATGGAGTATGGACTCAGTTATAGTGTCATTTCATACCTCAAAAAATTGAGTCAGCAGGTAATGTCAGAAACTGGAAGTGAACATTAAAGCTTTGACTGCTAGCTAACATATTTAGTAGTCTAAAAACGATCTAGTTCTTGATGACTCTCTCAAACCCAGGGTTTCTCATGTGGTAGGCAGTTTTCCACCGAGTTTAATATCCCTAGCCAACCCTTTGATTTTGAGGCAAGTTAATCCACATCAGACTTGAATTTGGCAGACCTCCTGCCTCAGTCTTGAGTAGCTAGGATTACAAATGTCCTACTATTGTATCTAACAGACTACAAACAAGATCTTGTTGATTCTACATTTTTATAATTTCTCATTCATGCATATGGCCTAAATTCCTGTATATGATTATTGTTGTTTCCTTAGGGGAAAAAGATACCATTCTATTTTGTTTTGTGTTTTAAAACCTGTATATATTTTCTTTTAAACAAGGAAGCATCTTTGGAACTGTTTGTAAAACCATGGGATTTTTATCATTCTGGATATAAGTTCTATTAAGATACAGTGAATATCAAGCAGTAGACAATTTACTTCCATCCAAATTGTGCATGTCTTCTTAAGTTTTCTAGTACTTTAGACATCTCTCTGCAATTCAGAAGGAATCAAAATATGGCTAAAGTGTACATTGGGTTTGCCACATCTGTAAGTGTGTATGTAGTTCTGTGCTAATAGTGTCTTCAAGCAGTTTGTTGTCTCATTTCCTGTTGCTTCTGAACTGGGAATGTTTTCTTTAATGAAACATACTTCCTGGTTTATTTGTGATGAGTATTAATTAATAGAATAACTTGAAGGAATGTTTGTCCTGCTGCAAAAATTTTGAGTTGTAATTATTTTAACTGGTAAACTGTTGTTATTAAGGTATGTTTGGCTTACCTACAACTAATATAAACTATGATTACTTGATTTTAAATTTTTAAATTCAATAAATAATTTATGGAAGAGCATAGTCACTAGCGTCTGATTTATAGACTTGTAGATTGTATTCAAACGATTTTTGTTTCTTTGTACTTTAGGCCAAAATTGAATCTGATAGAGTCATCGGATCTGTAGGCAAAAAAGTAGTGCAGGAAACTGGAATTAAAGTCCGAAGCCGGTCACATGGGTTGTCAATGGCACATAGGAAAGGTTTTCAAGTGCTGCAAGGTATTTCGGAAGATGTCCCCCACAGGTTGCTAGACCTTAATATGAAGGAGTACACTGGGTTCCAGGTTGCTTTACTAAATAAGGTAATGGTCAGTTTAACATTGCTTTAGTTGTGTTGTACTCTGTCATAGAGCAAGTTAGAGTTTTTATCAACAACTTGTCCAGGCTTCAAAAGGCCCATTTCTATATGGCTGTAGAATGAATGATACTTAACCATCGAGTTTCAGAATTAAAACAGAAATTGTATATGGTATGTGAATGAATGAGTTGATTGATAGTGAAAACAAAGGCTTAAAGATTAAGTTACAGAGCTGATATTAGAGTTCACTTAAACTAAAGACCTTCACATGCTTTATAACTCATTATTAAAATTATTTTCTTTTCAGCATCCTTTCTGTAGACAATAGAATAGCCAAGCTGATTATAACACTTATATGGAAATATAAAGTATCTGGAATAGCTGAATCAGTTTTGGAAAGGGAATAAAGTTCGGACAACTGCAGCCATGTGATTTAGAACTGAAAAACTGCTGTAATTATGGCAGAATGATTGTGTGTGATTAAATACAGAGGAGAGGTAGAATGGAATAGGGCAGGTTCTCATACACAGTCATTTAACAGAGGTTCCATGATAATCAAAATGGGAAAAAGCCTGTTAAAAGGAACTACAACAATGAATATCCCTAAACAACATAATTACTTCATTATTTGAAGTAATCATAATCATAAGAATTAAACCAGAAGAAAAAACGAGATAGTCTTCCTAGTGTTTAAAGCTAGTGAAGACTTTTGTAGTATAACACAATCCAAAAAGAGCCCAACCCCAACAGTTGGTAAATTGAACTTTTTTAAAATTAAATATCTGCTCTTCAGTGAACTGGTGTAACATGAGATATAGTTGAATTATGAATGATTGCCTTACATCTGAGAGTCCCTGGTTTCACTCTCATGTGTCTTTGTTTTCTTTTGCTCTTTCAAAGCTGCCTAGTTAGCTTAGATATGTTTTTTTTTTTTTTTTAAAAAAAAAAAGAAGAAGAAGAAAAGAAAACCAAAGTAGTCAAGGCAACAGGTCAGAAGCACAGAACATGTAATAGAAAACTGGTACAAGATAATTGACATCCAGACCATGAAAGTGCTCTAAGATAGGTGTGATGATGTCAGCTAACTGTAGACTCACACACTTGCTCATCAGGTCACATGCTCAGATAGCAAAGTGGTGTTCAAACCCTTCCAGGGTTTAAAGGGCTTTTGTTAACTGATTCACTTGTCTTACCCAGAACATACTAAAAGATCGTAAAATTTACAGGTTGATTTGAAATTATTTTGTTGAGCTTACCATAAAATCTCTGTCATTTAGCCCTAAAATGTTGTAGTTAATATTATATCATGTGTCTTCGTTTTCTTTTGCTCTTTGAAAGCTGCCTGGTCAGCTTAGATATTTTATATTTCATTTCTGGGCCTATGCTTCAGAGTAAGGAGATTTTAAAGTATGTTTAGAAATATTTTATCCTTGAATGTTTTTGTATAGGATTTGAAGCCTCAGACCTTTAGAAATGCTTATGATATACCAAGACGGAATCTTCTGGATCATTTAACAAGAATGAGATCTAACCTTTTAAAGAGCACCCGCAAATTTCTTAAAGGCCAGGATGAAGGTTAGAGTATGATTTTAAATATGATTTCTGTTTTTAAAATAATTTTTCTTTATAATTTATAAGGAGATGATAATATACATTGTACTGGCTTATTCTCATTGTTAATTCAGACAAATGACATAAAAGAAACATTAACTCAGTTATACATTCACATAATTAAAAATAAAAATATTTTAAAAGGGTAATTCATCCCTTATTTTCTACCTTCTTTCTTCCTGTCACTGTTAACCACAAATCCTCTTACCAGTTTATTCATACTTCTTCAGACACAGGGACACCTACAGTCATTTTCTTGGACTATGTTAGCATCTGATAGTTTGACTCTGGGTAACCATTTCATGACATATTCTGATACTTCCTTGTTTCAATGCATCTATTGTAAATCACATCATGAACTCTTGCTATGACTCAAACCTTCCCACCACTACACATGTATCTATATCCATGTGCTAGTTTGACTCTACTAGTCTCTACAAATTCTACTTTATTTTGCCTAGAAGATAAATTAGTACTTTAAATTTTATTTTTGAAGAATTAAAAACTGTTATATTTATACATGCTCTATACTAATTTCCAGTACATAGTAAAATGGGGATGGTATTCATATTTGGGATAGCTAGAGTAAATTATTAGTGATGGTAACTTTTGTTGTTGATATATTCTCTCTAAAAAGATCAAGTGCACAGTGTACCTATAGCACAAATGGGGAATTACCAGGAATACCTCAAGCAAGTACCTTCTCCATTGAGAGAACTTGATCCTGATCAGCCTCGAAGGTTGCATACATTTGGCAATCCCTTTAAACTGGATAAAAAGGTAACTCTGAAATGTTCTATGTTATACTTTGTTGGGTAGCTTTTGTCAATTTAGCTAAAGTTACCTTGGGGGAAGAATATCTCATTAAAGTATTAATATTAAAGTATTTATCAGTTAAAGAATTGAGGTTAGTTGTACCATTTAAAAGTTGGATAGAGGTGCTTGGCAGATGGCTTAGTGGATTAAGTGCTTGCTATGCAAGCATGAGAAACTTGAGTTCAAATCCCCAGAGTCCATATAAAAAGCCATACACAGTAGCACTCATTTGTAATCCCTGCACTCTTCTGGGGAGTTAGTTGACTCCCAGAAGCTAATGAGCCTTCTAGCGTAGCATGCACAGTGGCGAATAAGAGACCCTATCTTAGACAAAGTAGAAGGTGAAGACTTATACCTGAGCTTGTCCTCTTACTTCCACATGCACAGTACGGCATGTCCATATCCACACTGACATGAATGTACCCCTCCATTCCCAATACACTCAGACAAACTGCATGCAAGAAAAATGGTATTTTCTTTTTTAGTGTAGAGTAGAAAGGTAGATAGATACCAGAGGCTATGAGAAGGATGAAGAAGGGGAAGATAAGGATTAAAGGGTACTGAGTCCCAGCTTCAGGAGTAAATTTTAGTGATCTCTGGACAACATTGTTATCCTAGTTAATAATAATGTGTTATATATTTCAAAGTTGCTAAAAGAACATATTTCCAACATCCTTACCCCATCAAAGTAGGTATGTATTAGCCGTGTTAATTACATTGAATCTTTTCCTTTTTAAAGATTTTTTTTTTTTAACTTACATGTGTATGTGAGCCTGTGAGGTATTCTCCACATGTGTAGAGGAGCTTTAGTAGCTAGAAAAGTGTTCTGGATCGCCTGCAACTGCATTTATAAGTGTTTGTAAACTGTCATGTGGGTGCTGGAAACAGAATCTGGATTTAAGAGAGCAGTAAGTGCTCTTAGCTTCTGAGCCCATAAAGTAAATTTTGTTTTTTAATATATGTATTGTGTGTATGTATATGTGTGCATGCGGACTTAATGCCATGGCACACATGCGGAAACGAGAGGGCAGATTTTTGTGGAATCAGTTTTCTGATTCTCTCCCACTTTTCTTGTGATCTAGGCTTTGAAGTCAGTTCACCCAAAGCACCTTCACTTGCTAGTCCTTGATTAACCCTTTCTACACAGTATGCATAGATCAAGCAGTCACATTGTATACCATAAGTGTGTAGTTATTCATCAGTTAAAATAAATGGTGGCCATTAAAATGTAAAAATTATTTATAAATCCAAGAACATTTTAAATCTGTTAATAGGGTATGATGATAGATGAAGCAGATGAGTTTGTGGCTGGACCTCAGAATAAACACAAGCGGCCTGGAGAGCCAAGCATGCAAGGGATCCCGAAAAGGCGCCGATGTGCCTCTCCACTCTTGAGAGGCCGAAGGCAGAGCCCTGCTGTGAACAGTCACATCGGAGGGAAAGGACCACCTGCACCTATGATGCAAGCACAGCCAGGTCTTATTAAACCCCTTCCTCTGCATAAAGGTAGCACTTTGGGGCTTTCAAATACTACTTTCTATTTTGGGGTTCCTAAGGGAAGAGATTGTTGTAATAGAAACAGAAAAAGATTGTTCAGCAGAGTCCAGTGAGTATTTATTGTGAATTGGTATGTAGTAGCTTGGATGTCTTTTTGATGAACATTTTATAAATTCATACTTTGCCATGTTTTAAAATGATTTTAGCAAATCTTCAAGTATTTCAAAAATGATTTTGGAAGGAATATTGTCACTACCAGCTAAAATAAACATCTTTCTGTTCAGTAAAACTCAACAACTAACTCTTAAATGCTTATTATACTGTGTTACGGATGTGAGCAAGGCAGTAGTCATTTCTGTCCTCATAGTAGGCAAGGAAAGAAAGTCATTATTTAATCAATTACAAGTGTAATAAATGTTAGAAATATTTGACAGGGAGAATGTCTGAGGATGTGTGGGAATTAAAGCTTTCCCTGTGCTAAAGATCTAAAGAGAGTATACATAGAAATACATAAAGAGAAAGATCTTAAGAGCTGAAGGAATTCTATTACAGCATCAGTATTGGGCATACTTAGTAAGAAGAGAATGGAAAGACAGTTAAAATTCAAATCAGGAGTGGCCGTCGAACCTTTAAAGATTCTATATTTTGTTCCTAGGACAGTGAGAAACCATTGAATGGTTCAAAAGAGGTGGTAATCTCTTTTATGTATGGGGTAGCATTTTATGTATGTATGTATGGGAATATAGGAAACTTAATAAGTCAATGTTTTTATTAATTATACTTAGTGACCTCATTGGCTTATATAACATTTTAAGTGGAGAGAAATCCAATACTATTTACTATTTGATGGAATTGTACAGTACTCTTAAATACATTTGACTCTTCTCCCCTGTCCTGTATTGAATATCAGTGTGATCAAGCCTCTAGATCTAGTAATTGCATGGGAAATAAAAGAGACAGAAAAATAGGTTAAATAACAAAAGAGGGATACAGTCAGAAAATTAAGATCATAGGGAACTCTAGGACAAAAAAAAAAGAATCTGTTGTGTTGTTTTTATTATTGAAAAACATAACAAAAAGAGAGATGCAGAAAGGTTTTATAGAGTCAAAGGACCAGTGATGATGCATGGGCCTCACTTGGACCCAGAATCAAATAAGAGTAAACCTTCAAAAACAAAAATGTATGAAATAACTGAAGGGTGTCAACGCTGATTGGATAGTTGATGTTATACTGTAATTGTTGTGCGTCTATAGGGCCCAGTTAGTACATGAAGGTGACTTGACCTGACAATGTGTCTTGAGAAACAACAGGCAGGTTGGGAAAAGCAATAAGTGTGAATTTACTTTAATAGTGTGTGGTTTCAAAGTCTTTAGAAACAGGCCATGCAAATTAGAAACATCTTTTGGTCTCTGGCTGTCTTACTACCACCAATACTTTTTTGGAGAGTAAAAAAAAAATGAGAAAGAAAGAAGGATGAAGATGTGTATGAAAAACAAGTTTTGAGTTAAGCTATAAAGGGCATGGAGGCCAGTGAGTAATCATGAAGAAATGGTGGTTTTGCTTGAGAGTGTTTAAATGCTGGCATGGTGGACCTAGTATGTAGAAAGGTTAAAATAAAGATGAGAGAGGCCGTTATCTCCACCAAGAAGGCAAGAGGAAATGGCCCAGCTTTCTAATGAAAGAACGCTGTGTCTGTTGAAAAAATGGTTGTGGGTACAAATTCATTAGAAATAAGGGAGTAAAAGGGTCCTCACCCAGGATTTTGCTTCTCCCATAAATAGAAAATAGGTGCACTGCTGAGATAGAGAGGATGATTGGAAAAGTTAGAACTTGGAAGAGAATGAAAGCTGCTGAGTATCTGTGGGAAAGGGAGAAGGCATGTAGGAGGCTTGCTTAGCAGTGCAAGATCTAAACCTAGGCGGTAATTGGGAGGACCACCCTGGTAGATCTGGCTCCTATTTTTCAAGCTATTGTCATCATTCCAATTAAATGTCTGCAGCTAACAGACTGTGTAACCTGACCATTAAGTCTGGTAGTTTAACTTGATAGATACCATAGTGTGAGGTGTTAGAACTAGATCATTGGAATGTTGGTAAACGTGACCTAGAGTGGGATTAAGCCTCATAAAGAAAAAAAGTAGATGTATTGTCAGAGTCTGATTATTAGAAGAAAGTGGAAGAGTTGCTAGAATGAAAGTTCAAATGTTTTAAAGACAAGGAGCTGAAAGATGCAAACTCCATCTATGAGTTTGTTTTAGATGGGAAAGGTGAAGTGAGAGTAGAAAGTTCTTTGAGGTCAGATCTTTGGTAGATGATGCTCTGCATAGACATTGGTGCTACAGAACTTAATCAAATTTGAGCATACATGAAGATTATCTGGGGTCCTTGTTAAACTGCTTGTTATCATGCAAGTCAGGACTGGGGCACAAAGGAAGCAATTCTGAGGCAAATTCCACTTTGAGTTGTAAGAACCTCCTAGAATGTCAGGAGGGGCTTAAGAATGTACAGTGAACAAGATGCCCGAGCGTGTGCACTGAACTCAGTATGAAGAAAATGATGAAGGGATTAGATAAGTGACAGTGTTGCTCAAAAGTGCAGGAGTCTTTTATTTTTTCCTTTAAAGAATCAAATGCAAGATATTTAAAAATTACATTTATAAGAGGTGCAAGAGACAGCCACTGCCTCACTTTTACACTCATGAGAAAGCAATTTCTATTCCACATTTGAAAGGAGAAAAGTGGTTTGTTTGTTTTATTATTTAAATAGGAGAGCTTGGTTTTCATTAAAGCAGAAATTACTGTGATTTTAGCCTTAACCTTAGACAAAGGCTGAGAAACAGTTGTGGAGAATAATCAGTAAAGAAATGTTTGCAAACCATGAGGGGGTAGAATTTAGAAAGTATGATGGAGGGAGATGGAAGGGGAGTAGACTAGGTCTTTACATTGAGATATAGACCAGAGCTCTGGAGGCTAATGAACAATTAAACTTAAGGGTCATGTCTAAGAATTTTACATTTATTGGTAAGCTAGTAAACTTTTGGGTCTACAGATCTATTGAGCTGAAGTGGGCACCAGTTTACTTTGCATGGCTAGGAACTGAAAGGATAGATAGAAAACAGTGTGCTCTGAAATGTATGTGCCCTATTTGGTGTTTCTTGCAGAATCTTGAGCAATAAACACCATTCAGTGTTTACTTTTCTCTCTAAATAATAACAGGTTTATAAAGATAGAAGTAGGCTTAAGATGAGGTAGGTAGGACTCTTAAGCCAAAAATGACAATGACAGTTTTAGTTGTGTATATACTGAAAACGTGTTTAATAACTTCGCTAAAATAAGGTAGAAAACAGGCTAAAATTGGCTCTGTTTTAAATATGTCTTATGTTTAAATGATAGTTATTTGTAGTCATTGTGTTACTTTAGCATTTTTATTCTGCACTTTAATACCAGATCTCACTTTTTGTTCCCTTTCTTTGGTTTCATTTCAGAAGCCACTAATGATTCAATAGTAGAAGATGTGGTTGAAAATCATGTTGCTGACCAACTTTCATCAGACATGACACCAAATGCTATGGATACTGAATTTTTAACATCTCCAGCCAATCTTTTGGAACCATCAACCAATCATACAGAGGCCCTTGGTCATGAACATTTAGGAAACAATGACCTCACTGTTGGTGGGTTTTTAGAGAATCATGAGGAGCCAAGAAATAAAGAACAAAGTGCTGAAGAGAATATACCAGCATCTTCACTTAACAAAGGAAAGAAACTGATGCATTGTAGAAGCCATGAAGAGGTCAACACTGAACTAAAAGCACAAATAATGAAAGAGATCCGAAAGCCAGGAAGAAGTATGTATAATTAGAGACAAACTTGTTAATTTCTTTGTCTTCAATTAGGCAAAACCAAGTTAAATTCAATAAAAGCATACATATTATTCTAGATTACTCATGAAGTAATATCTGAACTCTTTAAGGTTTAATTTCATATTCAGCTGGAACACTAAAATAGTCTTGGTTCTCAAGGTACTCCAGTATGGGTGGTAGACAGCAGAAAGTCTATCTAAAGAAGACTCTAGAGATGCAGTGTATGTAGCTTCTCTTGACAGGGACCAGAATCTTGACTGTTGCAAATAGGAGTTGAAATTTTAGAACAACTAACCCCAACAGATAGGGTGAATAATATTACATGGCTTGGTGTTGGGTTGACAGTATATCTAAGAGGTAGAGCACCTGTATAGCCCAAATTGAGTTATCACCACTGTGTGCTTGTAAAGTTGTCTTCTGCTGCCTGTCACTATGAATGAATTATGAAAGTAACCTGGATCATGTGCTTAGGCCCCAAGCCTAAGTCATTAAGGCCGTCACATGAATGCAAGAGAACTCAATTGGTACAAGAATTGTGAGTAGTATTGGCATCCATAAGAACATAACCAACACTGCCATGATGCTGTAATAAGAAAGTGGAAGGGCCTTCAGCCCCCCCCCCCCCAAAAAAAAAAGTGCTTGGAAGGTGTTTTGTCTTTGGTGATACGTACTTTCCTGCACATACATGTTAACTGTGGTCTGTAAAAGCTTTGAAGAGTGGTAATATTTTTATGTAAAATATTTTTGTCTTGAGTATAAAGCCAGTTAATTGTTTTTCCTTCTCTTTTTTTTTTTAAGAATATGAAAGAATCTTCACTTTACTGAAGCATGTGCAAGGCAGTTTACAGACAAGGCTAATATTTTTACAGAATGTCATTAAGGAAGCATCCAGGTAAAGAAACTTATTTGTTGCTGAATAATAATGAAATAGGTTTTGATTTGCATATATGATATTTGAATGGCATCTGTTAGGCAGTTGGGTTTATGCATGCATAGATTTGATTCATTGAAATGTGTGGAACTATTTTTCTTCCACTTTTCTTCTTTTAAACTAATTCAAAGTTGTTCATTGATGTAGGCACATAAATCCTTGAGAAATTATGGACCTTTTACCTGCTAAATTATTATATTCTTTTAAAATTCTTGATTATTTTCTCCATTGCTTTTTGGTGTTGTAAATCTTTAATTTCTTTTACCTTTCTACATTGATAATTATTTTGAGTGATTAGAAATAACCTGGAAAGGTAATATTTGAATGTAGTCCATTTTTACATGAGAGAAGACATGTAATCAAGGGGATTGGTTCAGTATCCCAAGATTATGTGCTTTCCTCTGTGGACTGAGTCAGTATTATAAAATATAGCAATGAGGCCAATGAACTGGTAAGCATAGTGTATAACCTTTCAGATACTTACATTATTTTCTTTCAGGATTTAAGTTTTAATAGTATGACAAAGCGTAGTGCTTAGATATCATCTAAATGTAAGCATAGCCACCTACCAGCTGTTTCTCTGTCTCTTCCTTGCTACCTGTGAAGGCTTCAGATTAGTAGTTCTCAACCTCTGGGTTATGACCATTTCAGGGGGGGCATGTAAAGGACCCTTTCTAGCGGTTGCCCAAGGCCATTAGAAAACACGTATTTTACATTATTCATAACCATAGCAGAACTACAGTTATGATAGCAATGAAAATAATTCTATGGTTGGGGTCACCACAACATAAGGAATTATATTAAAGGGACACAACATTAGGAAGATCGAGAGCCACTGCTTTAGATAGAAAGGATTTTTATTTTGTTTTGTGTAGTGTTTGTTTTTGGAGTGGTTTGGTCATGGTCTATTTAGAATGCTGAAGATAAGGCTATGTGTTTTCATATAAGTTGAAGTACTTAAGTTATTCTACTTTTAATGAAAACTCTGTTCTGTCTTTTGTTCAGTTCAAAGCATGCCTTGAATTTTTAATGTTCATTTTTGAGCAGCATCTTCCCACATAATCCAGGCTAGCCTCCATCTTGGGTTTCTTCTGCCTTAGTCTTCCAAATGCTGGAATTATAGGCATGTGCTCTCATGCTAATGTATCTTGGATCTAGTCGTGTTTCTTGCACCTGCCTTTCTGCCACCTTTGTTGTAGAATTTGGTGTTTATCTGCATCATTTTACAAGTAAGAAAGTAGTAGGAATAGAATGTCCAGAAATATTCTAAAAAGCATAAGTGATATTAATGGTTTTGTATATAATTTTAGCCTACCTATATTTTTTACTGATAAACATTTTATGCTATATATCCTATCATAGAAACCTTATGATACTTGATGTCCTGGTCTTCAAATTATAGTAGAACACTAATTTTTTTAAATGCTACTATCAATTTTTTTATTTTCATTTTGTAGGAACTTCAATTTTCACAAAGGAGTAGATGATACTTCAGTAACTGCTTTGCAGTTCAACTTTACTATAATGTCTAGAATCCTTGTGTATATTAGTAATTTTTTTTTCTTTTTCAGTGGTAGGGAGAATAACCATTCTAACTTTGTTCCTAAGACAAGATGAGTTCTTCTAAGGAAAAACTGCAATTCAGTTCTGGTTTGAACAGCAATTTATAAATTTTTCGTTAGGTTTGTACAAGTGTGTGTGTTTGGCACACATGTGGAAGTCAGAACAACTTTCAGAAGTCAGTCTCTCCTTCCATATGAGTTAAGAGGACATTAGGATTGGCCAAGGTTGGCTGTAATAGCTTTGTTATCTTCTGAGTTATTTTGCTAGTACCCAACAGATTTTTTTTAAAAAGTTCCTTTTTTGAGACTATGATATCATGACATCATTTCTCTTTTCCTCTTCAGAACCCTCATATATCCCACCCTTGCTTTCTTTCAAATCCATAGTCTATTAACTATAGTTATACAACAATATTGTGTGTTTATATTACAAATATTCCTAAAGATATGACTATAATCTGCTTGGTCTGCATAATGTTACTGGAAAACACACACACACACACACACATATGTTTATGTTTTCAGGACAGACCTGAAACTGGAGGAAGACTATTTCTCCTGCTGTCAGCATTCCTTAGTTATCCTTTAGTTCTTTGTTGAGGCTGAGACCTCCTTAGTCTCCTTCCACTTTAGCTTGTGTTAGTACTGTCCTTGGTCAGCTCATGTTTAAGTAGTTGCCAGCAGATTTTATGTGTTGGTTTCCATTTTTTTAATTAGTTATTTTATTTATTTGTGTGTTAGTTGTTGCCCCAGCTCTGGTCCCCCACCACAGGTCTTCTTCTGTTTCCCCTCCCCTTTGGTTTTGTTTTCCATTCTACTTTTAAACAAATGACTCTTTCCCAAAGCTAGTTTTTCTCTGTGAAACATGCTAGTATATACTGTCCGTTAATAGGTAATTAAGAATGCTCTTATTTTTCTTACACAGGTTTAAGAAACGAATGCTAATAGAACAATTGGAGAACTTCTTGGATGAAATTCATCGAAGAGCCAATCAGATCAACCATATTAATAGCAATTAAAAGAAAATAGAATGCAGCCACTTATTTCATTATCTTCTCCAAATACAAAGTAAATACAAGACTGATGTAATCTTGTATTCATTCTTTGACATGCATTGTTGGCTATTTGAGATACTAAAAACATTCTACAGTTCCTTTCCATCATTTTACAGTGAACTTTTCATTTTAGCTTATTTTTGTAAAGTGAAAAGTACCACTAAATTTTTTTCTTCTTTTCTCTTTCTTTCTTTCTTTCTTTCTTTCTTTCTTTCTTTCTTTCTTTCT